CCACATAGTGACCTAGATATGTGGGGGCGTGTTAGAACGAGCCGTTTTAGGTAGGTGTGGCTGACTCTGAACTTTTTTAAAGAATATCTCTTTGGATTTGAGACTTTAGTCTTTGCAACTTTACAGATCTTCTTTATGCACCAAGAGCTTGTAACACGCCAAAGAGAAAGGAAAAATTGAAATCGCATCATATGACCCCTTTAATTCTTCTCCCTATTTTTATTGATGCACTGGAAGCTAAAAGACAATCAATACTTAAATAATTAAAACATTCCGGACACTAGGAGGATGTAGATACGAGAACAACAAACCTGCTGATGGATTCCCCCTGGTCTTTCCTTCAGGTGTTAGTTAAAAACATAGAGAAAAAAGAGGCAGGATATTAACACTTCACATGAACGACAGAAACTAATAAGGAGACTACAGAAGAGACACAGATGCCTCTGAAATATACGAAGTGTTTCATTGTAGGAATGTCACACCAATATATTTCACTGTCACAAATTATAGTTTAAATGTTAAAAAAAGGAAATTAAACAAATATACCTCAACACACACACACACACACACACACACATTAGGAGTAGGAAGAAATGGAGAGTCTTTTTTAAGACAGGTAGCAAACAAGCAGGCATGCAAGCTATGAGCAATGCACAGTCAAGCTGACTAAGACAAGCGCTAACAGAAGAGGGACAGCTGTGTTATCAAGGGCTGCTCTGTGTGTAATTACTCCAGAATTGGGGAATTGCCTGAATATAGCAGTACACCCATTTGTCAGAGCATTGTCATGTGTCTGTCTTCAGGTGTCAGTCCACAAACTGTCCGGGCTTCTGTTCAGTTTGATTTATCGGTAGGGGAAATTTTAGTTAGCCACAGCATATACACGAGGAAGCAGGTGTGAGGCTGTGGCTCTCATCCAAACGGAAACTTTGAAGCTTCAGTTATACAGAAGACTTATGTTCACTGTCAAAACCTGAGGGTTGTGAGCTATTTCAGTAACTGTACATCATTAAGTATTATTTTGGGGAACTTGTACTATTGAAACTGAATATTTGTTCTCTTACTGAATTACATTTCTAAGGGCAAATCACACTTTTCAAATTGTCATACTCATTTAGCCTTCCAAAGAACAAAGTAAATTTGCAGAACATAATGACCCAAATATTTAATCTTTTTTGTGCATCTTACAGAGCTAGAGGGCCATTCAAATTACACTCACACAACAAGCTAATAAAATGCATTTCATGGTAATTAGCCTCCACTACAGTTTACTATTATTTGTCCTCATGAAGAGATTTTTCATCAGTCAACAACAGTCTTTGACCTAAAAAAATACGTTCTAATTCTAGCTATTCTCAGGAATGAACAACTTGATTTGAGTATGAACACATTATTCTATATTAATAATGATCCAGCATCAAAGAATAATAAAACCATTTGATGTTGCATTTAAAGTTGAACAGTTTTGACTAATGTACAGTTCTTTATTTATTTAGTAAATGAAAATTTAAGGAGTCCGAAGAGTTGGGTTTGTATCAAAGAAATAGTTTTGTTTGTTAGATATCCTTATTTTGTTCATTTCAGCAGTCTATGAAAGCTGCTTCCACCACGGAGTAAAATTTATAACAAAACTGATTTTATGTCTCCAAGTTAACAACTTGCAATTTAGACTTTATTCTTTGAATTGCGAGTTTATAATACACAATTCTGACTTTATCACAATTATCAGTGTAAATCTCACAATTTTGAGGTCCCTCTTAAAAGAGATATAAACTCCAAGAGATATATAAAAAAAAGTCTGAAATATGAGCTAAACTCAGCATTATGAGGAAAAAAATCTGAATTGTGAAATATATGCTCACAATTATGAAAAGAAAAGACTGAATTTTGAGATACAAATGTGCAATTCTCGAAAAAAAAGTCCAAGTGTGAAATGTTATCTTAAAATCGCAGATATAAACTTATATTTGCAAGAAATAAAATCAAACATGTGTTATAAGTCTGAATTGCAAGATAAAACTTGCACTTCTGAGAAAAAAGTCAGAATTGTGAGATGAAAAGTTTATTATCATTATTCAGTAGCAATTCAAGTATGTTTTAGGAAAGGTATTTTGACATTTAACATTACAATTTTAACAAATTATCCATACTTGGGCATCATTTATTTGTACTTTTGACATCTGGCCATATGCGTTTTTTCAGTGACCTAATGAGGATTTAAATAAGCATGGATATCTATAGACTACTGTAGGGCACAGAAGAGATGATTATGCTTAGGAAGAGAGACAGATTGAGGGAAAACAGAGTTTATTTGCTGAGGGAAGTGGGGAAATGAGAGCTACAGAAGCACTGACACCAAATACGACACCAGCTGCCAGAGTTGTACCTACTTTGTAGGGCTGCAGGTATGCAACGCCTTCAAATGAGGCTTCCAGGTAGCAATGGAAACCGAGTTCTCATCAGCCGCATAGCTACGCCACACACACTACGTGCAGAATATACAAAACCAGGAAAATAGGGAGGGAAATGAGGACAGTAGAAAGTAAAAAGAGAAATACACAAGGCCAGGAAAAAGGCAGGGATTGGAAAAAAAAAAGGAGAACAACAAAAGAAAAAAAAAAGATTAGTAACAACCGGTTCATGTAAGCGCTCTTCCATCAGTTCACTGCATTGATACATGCCTTTGAGGAGGGAGAACACTTTTATAGAACAGCCATGTGGCACTCAGGTATGTTCTGGAGAGGTCTGTGGAGTAGAGACGCCACGCAGCCTGGTGCAGGAGACAGACACACACAGACGGAGACATGGGTGGAGAAAGACAATAGCATGGTGAGGGAACAGCCAGTGAATCATTGATCCAGCTCAAGACATTTCTTCAAACCGCTGCTTTCATTTTGTTTAAATGTTCGAAGTTTTCAGCAATGCTGGAAAACATGTTAGCCTATGTATTTTGAGGACCAAAAGTCTGAGACCACTAGTGAAAATGCTTTTTTAAAAATAAAATTATCTGCATAACAATGTGAGTAAAAAGTAAAAAATGAATTCATTATTAGCATATGGTTTTGCTTAGAAATAATGCAGCACTTGAGTTGCATGACCTTCACAAGTTAGTGGAAAACCCGATAATTATGTTTTATTGGGTTTATAAAACACTGCTCTTTTATCACACACTGCTCCGGGTGTGTGTTCACGGTGTGTGTGTGTTCACTGCTGTGTGTGTGCACTAAGGATGGGTTAAATGCAGAGCACTAATTCCTAGTATGGGTAACCATACTTGGCCACATGTCACGTCACGTCACGATAATTATGTTTTCCAGCATGATCTGAGAATGATCCAAAGAGCATCTTGAGGAAGTAAGAACATCTGACCGTCGGTCCAAATAGTCACATGATGTCTCTAATGTATTAAATATCTCTTATTTGTGTAAAAATGTTTCATTTTTTTATGTTAATGTTCATTTTTTATTAGGTTTAAATTGCAGTATATTTGAATTCCAGATTTTTGATGATGTCTTAGACTTTTGGATCCCACTGTACACAATTCAAGAAGATTTGAGTGTTTTTCACACATCTACCATGTCCAAATATGAGAGCAGATCAGTGTTGAACAAATGTCTTGACGTTTGGGTGGCACACACAACATCAAAACAGCCAAAGGACTTAAATGTAAGTGATGTGGTGAATGAAAAGAGGAATACATTTATCCAGTGAAAAGTGTTTATATATAAAAAGGTGTTTATAAAGCACAAACTTTTTAAAATAAATGCAAAAAGTGTTTGTGGCCTCGTATGTTTTAATTTAAGGGTTTACGTGTGGCCATTTGGCTCTAAAATAGTATTATTTAAATCTAAATACCATTATATAATTAATACTTGTATGAGTATTTGACCACACAGATGTTGTTGTAGGATATAATGTACAGCCAACACGAACCCCTGCTTGCATTTAACTTCTGATTTTGCAATGTATATGGTATAACAATGAAATAGCATTTTATTAATTGGTAATAGACTGAATTGTAAACAAGTGGGCTATGTATACTAGAATGAAGCAAGCCTTCAATGTGAATTTACTAAAACAAAACCTAATTTCTTTTTTTTTTCTAAATTATCCAATATACTGAATGATGCCAGCAGAAATGGAAAGTGATTGCTAAGGAAGAACAAGTCATTTTGATTAAAAACTACAAACAAAAGAAACAAAACGAATAATGCGTACTAATGAAGCATTCATATTAGGTACATGCATTAAGAAAGTCAACAGGGTCATTTTTATTTAATGTTGACTTATAATAATGTGATAATGGATATGGTTTTATGCATCAAGATGTAAAACTGCGTTAAAAACCATAAGAAAGAAACAGAAGACGTGTTGTGAGGAGAAAAACATCAGAAGGATGAAAGATTGAAGATGGAGCTCTCAAACTGCGTGACGCAGCAGTGAGGAGGGAGGGCATATTTTCCATCATTCTCTACAATAATGTCAGTAAAAGAGAAAAGGCAATCGTAACATGCAGGAAAGAATCCGAACCCAGACATAGCTGAGAGTCATACTCCACAGATCATAATTAAGATATATTTTCCTGGGTTATATAAAGACCTGAAGTGATTTAAGGGAGGTGAGAGAGCACCAATGATGAGAAATACTGCACCAATGCAGTCCCTGCAACATTACATCTTAAACAACACTGCATGGTTAAAATACAGAGTTACTGACAACAGTAATTAAAGCTGGATGGTTGGATGCCCGCTGAAAGGCCTTTGGAAAAAGGAAAGAAAATTAAAAACAGGGTGAAGACAGATCAGGAAAAGAGACAACATAAACATTAGGACTGATGAATATATGAGACATTCTCTGTCTGCAATATCAGAAAACAACCTGGAGAAAGAAAAGGGGTCATGGTGGTTAAAATAGTTGGGAAATTGCATGTGGGTTTTCAACAGCAGCCAAAAGGAAGTAACTAATTTCTAATATTACAGGACCTCAATGTTTTGTAGATGTGTGTTTGTTTGTGTGTGGAGATTTTCCTGGAGTAAATCTGTTTCTTCTGCTAGAGGAGAAGGATGCACCGTCCATTAGGAAGAGCTATTGTCCTCAGGGAGGCCCTTGCTCAGAATTCCTTCTGTGGAAACACATCATAAATATCTGCAAGTGTTTCCTTTGGCTCTGACGGAAGATAATAGTCCTCATGTAATCAATGCCCGTGGTATTGTTCGCGTTCTCTTCTTTCATTTAAAAATGAACATGGTTCATTTTTATAATTTCATTCAAATAATTTTTTTATTATTAAAACTGTTTAGATGTTTTAACTGGAAAAGATGACAAATAAACTGATAAATATTTTTTTGTTATTTTAGTTACAACAGGAAAAATGGGAAATGTTGAAGAAACTAGCTGAAATAAAATAAGTTTGTGTTTTTTATATTTACATTCATAAGCGCAGATCCCATGGGTGCTTAGGTGCTTGAGCACCCACGGAAATGATCGAGCACCCACGGAAAAACACGAGATAGTCTCCGTTAATTTTAACCAATAAGAAATGGATTGCAGCTTGTACGACTTTATTCTCATTTTCATAGTTCATTTGAGGCAGTTTTTGGCGTTTTGGCTTAGTTTAGACGTAAATTTTCGGATTCATGAAAGTGTTCGTATTTTCAAAATGTTAGTTGGTACGAAAGAAATGTACACCTGCTCCTTACCACTTGTAAATGGAGTGCAAAACGTTCTGTGTTCTTTTTGGCAAACTGATGACACTGAATTTTGATGCACTGCTATCATAATACTTTACAAGGTT